TCATCTTGAGATTCGTATTCACTATCCTCCTTTAGTAGCATAACTCGGTTATTAGGACAATCACGAGCATAATTCCCTCTCCCTTGACACTTGAAACAAGTTACGTCTTTGGCACGTTGGTTTTGAGGCTTGCTTGTCTCGGCTGTAGCTCCTTTAGATGTTTCCACCAATGGTTTCTTGAATCTAGATGTTGACTCCGGTGCTTTGCCTTTCTCTACTCCTCTCGGCTGAGAGCTCCAAGCTGGTTTGGTACGAGCAGTAGAAGCTGATTTCCTCTTGACATGTTGTTCTGCTTGCACGGCTAAGTGTAGCAACTCGTCAAGATCCCTATAGTTCGTTCTTTCCACCTTTTTTGCTATACGATCATGAAGACCATCAATAAATGGAGCCATCAATGTTTCCTCGGTCTCATTAGTCTCCAAACGGTTCTTGAGCAGCTCAAACTTTCAAAGTACTCCTCTACCGATCTAGTTCCTTGAGTGAGTTTCCTGAATTTCTTCTGGAGGTCGCGGTGATAGTAAGAGGGAATGTATCGTTTCCTCATTTGATATCGCATATCAGCCCATGTGTTGATTTGAGCGTGTTTATGCCTTCTTCTCTCGGACACTTCTCGATCCCACCATGAAAGGGCATTCTCCGTGAGTTGGACAGCTGCTAGGGAGACTTTCTTGGCGTCATTGTAATGGTAATACTCGAATATGTATTCCATTCTTCTCTCCCAATCAATGTAGGCTTCGGGATTGACTCTACCATCAAACGTGGGAGCTTTAAGTTTAAGGTCGTTGCCTCCGAGCCAAGGTTGCTCTTCTCCTCGTTCCCTTCCTCCTCCATTTCTGTATTGGTTTTCCCGGGGTTGAAGCTCTCGGTTATCCTCTTCAAGGCTGGGCATATCACTATCACTCTCGCTCTCGTCTTGAGATTGAGGTGTTCTTCCTCGGTCTCCTCGGCCATTTGGTGCTGCTGGAGCTGGTGGTGGTGCTCGTTGTTCCAACCGGGTCATGCGTTCGCTAATGCTTTGTGTGGAAGCTAGCATTTGGCGCAGCATGGCTCTTTGATCAACTTCTTCTCCCATGTTTTTGTACTTGTATATCAAATCAAACAAATGTTTGAATATGTTTTGGTAGAATATATGAATTAAACACAGACGGATTAACAAATATTGCAACCAAACAATAATGTTAATGATGATATGATTGCACACGCTAATGACGGTAACACGAGATTACACAAACCAAATAAGGAAAGCATTTGACTTATGGGAAAGATATATGGTTTAGAAGGATGATAATAAGGAAGCACGGTTCTAATAAAACTCTTTTTATTTTTTTATCAACTTAAAACAATATGCAATGAGGGAAATTTTTGTTTTGGTTTTTGGGTTTATAGAAATGACGATTTAACTAGATGCAAAATGTAATGAAAACTTGTTTTTATATATTTTTTTGAACGATGAAACAAACTAAACAAAGAACATGATATATAAACAATTTGATGTAAACAAGGATATGATACACCTGATTAAAAGCCTTTCGGCTCTGATACCAGATGACACAAGATCAAAGGTGATTGAGTTTGTTGATGGGATATGGAACCGGATGATGGTCGTGCAACACTTTCAGACCGGTCAATGGATGAGTGATGATGAAGTGAACGAGTATGGGACCAAAGAGTGGTTGTTCAACACTTCTCTATTGATCAAGGGGTGATGATGATGACAAGTGAAATGGATCGATGTCGCCACAAAGTTTTATGATTCTAAACTCTGATAAGACAAACAAAACTCAATAAACAATGAATCTCTCAAGTGTTTAAAAAGTTTCAAGAAGAATTTTCTATAAAAAAAACTCGGGTTTTTTTATTAATCAAAGGTAAAGAATACAATGCTGTGAGAGGGGACTTTATAATCAGTCCAAACAGCTGTTACCCTTCTTGGAGTCTTTGAAACAAATTACATTGATGAAAACACAAATGATTGAAAGCAAATTAAACTAATTGGTGAAACAAATGTCTTTGACTACTAATGTAATTTGAGAGAATCATCACTTAAACACAAAGTAATCATGTTTTTATTAGCTTAGATACCCGAAGGAAGATTAAATAAATTGAAATGCATACCTTAGCTTTTGATCTTGGTTTGGCCGATTTAAGTAAGGTGATGCGTTTCTGGCTTAGCTTCTAAGTGATGCGTTTAGATGAGTGGCGAGATAGTGGATAAGAAAACTTCTTTCCTTCCTTGTATGATCGGCCATTCCTTGACATGTTGTATAGTTTTAATGTTTGGACCGTCATATGAGTGTATAACTCCATCTTGGCGCGGTTCTTGTACTTGAGTAATGCCGTGTTCTTCAAGCTCTAGCCTTGCTTGAGACGCTTCCTTGGATATGCTTAGTTGATCAAGTTGAAAGGTAATGTCTTCGAGCTCTTTGTTGGTGATGAGTGTTTCCACAGCTTGATTAAACCCTTCATACAATTCTCTAGCTCCTGACCTTGTCTTTGGTGTATGTCTCATGATGGGGGTGTTTATCTCGTTGTTAGCTTCTGATGTTGTATCATATGGAGATTACTATGTTTCCCGGATTCGCTCTTAGCCAGAGTCTTAAAAGGAAGATACTTCAAATACTCCAATCCCCTGGAGGTAGAAAAATCTAATGCCCCTTCCTATGGATGGCAAAGCATGATGGCAGCAAAAGGTTTACTGAACGAAGGATTACGCAAGCAGATTAAATCTGGTTTTAACACCAAAGTCTGGAGTGATCGATGGATTCCAGTTATCCCGGCATGGCCGGCGTTAGGAGTTAGCAACATTCAAGATGAAAACCTCTATGTAAACCACCTCATCGATTTTGATTTGAAAACTTGGAAAGAGGACAAGCTACACGAACTGATTGCACCCGAAGATATCCCCTGCATCCGTAGCTTTAAACCCTCTCGGGTTTTTGATTTTGATGGCTACTTCTGGATACATACAAAAACGGGTAACTATTCTGTTAAAACAGGATACGATTTGGCTTGTGAGATCAAAGAGACAAATGCGACCCCAGTGTTGAACGAACCAAGCACAACAGCCCTGCGAGGTAAAATCTGGACTCTAAAGACCACTAGGAAACTCAAACATTTACTATGGCAAATGATCTCCGGGAATCTAGCTACATGTAGTAGGTTGGTGGATCGATATTGCGGGAATGACAGAACATGCCCGAGATGTGGCGGGGAAGATGAAACTATAAACCATTTGTTTTTCCAGTGTTCGCCGGCTTTATAGACTTGGGCGCTGTCTCCCATTCCTTCTATTCTGGAGCTATTTCAGTGTAATGCACTTTTCTGTAATATTGATCATTTCTATCTAGAGCAAAAGAACGAGGAGTACTGGAAGAACATATCCAACTGTTTCCATGGATTATCTGGTATATATGGAAGGCCCGAAACGACAAAGTTTTCAACGGACAAGATACATCTCCAATGGATACACTGGAGATCGCAATGGGCGAGGCTAAAAACTGGGAAATGGCAAACCAGATGCAAGCTAGGAGTGAAGAACCTCATACCCGAGATGCAGAAGCACCTGACAATTCGGTTCCAGGTAGTGAATACCGATGTCAAGTAGATGTGTCATGGGTTAATGCGGATCAGATGTTTGGCGGTGGCCTTGTCCTCCTCCATCATAACTCGACGCTGCTACTAGGATCATTCGCTGGAATGTCTGCCCTCTCCCCACTCCATGCTGAAATGAAGACAGCCCTTTGGGCCCTGAAAATCGTTCGACAGAACGACATATCTTCTATTCACCTTCAGACTGATTGTCTGCAGTTTGTTAAACTTGTTGATGGAGACGAGGATTGGCCAAATCTCTCATCTGAATTAGAAGAGTTCAACCTATTACACTCTGAGTTTACGAAGTTTATCATATCTTTCATTTCTCGCGATTGTAATACCTGAACGGACATCCTTGCTAAAAGAGCCAGAGCTCGTGATCTCATTTTCTCTCATGTAAATCTGATGGTTCCGGAGTGGTTGGCTTCAGAAACCAACTTATTTGAAGAAACGTTATTTATATGAATCTTATCTTGTTTGTCAAAAAAAAAAAAAAGAAAGGGGCAGAATCCGGTATTAAACGGCACACACTACACATTGATACATTATTAGTCACGACACAAAACGATAACTTACTTTAGTCAGAGATATTTCAAGAAGAAATAAACAGACCGGCGCTTCTTCGTCTCTTTGTCTTTCCGCAGCCTTTTTCCTTTTTCTCATGACCACGAGGATCATCTTTTTCTTCTTCATCATCATCATCCATAATTATAAAGCTCTCCTTCTTTTCCTCTGAAGAAACTAATTTAATTTATTTTCTCTAATAAGTTTCTCATGACCACGAGGATCATCGTTTCGTTTTGCCCCCAGCGTTAATTTCTTCTCCTCGGTTTTCTTTTAATTGTCTGCTTAACTTTTGTTTAGGTGAGATGATCTAAACTTCCCTGTTGAATTTTAGTTTCTTAAGCTTATCAGAGATTATCTTCAAAATTCTGTATATTCATTTTGGTTTATGAGTCTGAGAATTACCAAAGGTTTGCTATTTTTTTTTGTCTTTAAATTTAATTTCACCTTCCGATCTAATTTTAGGGATTTCACAGGGTTTAATTCTCAGAATTGACTGTGTTGAACTTACTAGATCTAAGTTTCAGTCCTCTATGATCTGCTATTTCCTAATCAAAACACTTGAAAGTGTGATATTGCTTATAATTTTTGACCCATCACTGTCTTATATAGTTAGAAATTATATTTCCTCAAATCCAAGTTATCTTCACTTATCAGTATCTATTATGTTGGACTCAAAATAGACCATGTTTAGAAAAGAAATCAAAACATTGATTATTTATCAGTTTAAAGCAATGGTCTGTCTTTAGTGTTAATGTTTCCTGCACAAGATACTAAAGCGGAATCACTATCATTGTTGTTGTCAATGATACTACTGCTCTTATCTTGCAGTGAAGAAGTAAGTTATGGCCAAGAATGAGGAAGGAAGTAGTATTCCGAGCTGGGGGGCTTCGTTTTTCGTACCGAGTTCAGAAGATGTTGCAATGGCTTTTGCTGCTGCTGCCTCCGCGATAAACCCGCCAAGGCCTTCAGTAGTCTTCTCATCGAAAGAAGAAAGCAGTAACAGCCCTCTGGAGAGGCTACAGAGGCAGGTCTCGAGAGCGGTTAAAAACTTCTATGAAACTCCTAAAACCAAGAGTATAGTGTACAATCCTGAGGTTTTGACTAGCCAAAAGCGTCAGTGGGCGAATTTTCAGGTCCAGTATTTGGTACGTTTGGCTAATCTCTTGGATGAAGAAGCAACTACATTTTCTGGTTGATTAAAAATCATGAAGTAAAGGATGGATTTTTTGAACATTTTTTGTCACTGACTTTATCTCAAACAGGATCATAAACCGTTAAAAGACCCCTCGAGGCTTTTTGAAAGCGTTGTTGTGGTTGGACTTCATCCTAATTGTGATATTCAAGCACTTGAAAGGCAGTACATTGCAAGGAAATCCGAAGGCTCTTCTGGGAGATTGCGAAGTGCGCTGGTCTCTCAGAATCATTCCCGTGTAGAACCTACTCTCGAGCCTCAGGTGAGGTATCTTTTGTTTTATTGGTACTTTCTCATGTGCAAGCTGCTAAGTATTTACTTTATTTTCAGGTCTTACTTGTGTACCCTCCTGATAAACATCCTCCAATTAAATACAAGGATCTTCATTCATTTTGCTTTCCTGGTGGCATTGAGGTACTTAAATCAGTTTTCCTCAGTTCCTTCTTAACCCGTTAAGCTGTAAAACTGGTTTAGAATGTATATGTTGGCTTCCAAGAAAACTATCTTACAGTTCTGAGCTGAAATGTCCTCATATTGCAGTATTCCTATTTCCTAGCTTTTTCTCTGATTCTTATACATATGATAATTCGCTAGTATGTAGCAGACTATTTGGATTCACTCACTTTTGAAGCTCTTTGAAAGTATTTGTAGATGATTTAGTTCCAGTAGATCTCTCTATATGGGTTAAATTTTTCTTTTGCACTTCACCCTTGACGATTTACTGTGTTTATGTATTAGAATTACATAATTTTAGTACTTTTACTTTTGTACTTGTTGTGTCTTTAAATTCATGCTGGTGACTTATGGTTTCAGGTCCATGCTGTTGAGAGAACTCCTTCCATGAGTGAGTTGAGTGAGATCATTCTAAGTCAGGTACATGCCTCATGTGGAGTGTAGATGTACAGATTGATCTTTGTTATTGACTTAGTGTACTACTTGTGGATTTCATTATTGTATTAATTTCAATTCACAAGAGTGAGATTCATATACGAAAACATACACTAATTTTCAAAACGATGATGCTAACTTTGCAGGAACATCTTAGACCTAGTGACCTTTCATTTGTATTTAGGTTACAGGTAAGCATCGTCATGGCCAAACTTTCTATTTTGTTTTGACCCTTTATTACATGATAGATTTTCTATTTATATGAGCCAATTCTCTGATATTTTCCCTTTAGGTTGCTGATAATTCGACTTTGTATGGATGTTGCTTACTAGTAGAAGAAATAGTGAACAAACCGCCCAGGTTGCTTTCCACGGTTTTAGACAAACAACCTGATTGCTCACCGTTAAGTCGCTATGTTATGACAACTCGCAGATGCTATTGCATCCTTACCAGGCTGCCGTTTTTCGAATTGCATTTCGGTGTGTTAAATAGGTGCGTATGGACTCGCCTCTGAGATCTTTTTTGCCTTCATGCAGCTCAGGTTATTCTAATGATGTATTTCAAGAAATGAATTAAATCCTCACATTGATACTTCTTTTTGATGTAGCATCTTCTTAGAAGAAAGATTGGAGCATTTGATGAGTGGCATTAGTTGTGTATCTTTAGAACCCCCAACAGATTTTAGTAATGGAGAATGCTTAAATGATTCATCATCCCAACAAAGAGACTCTGGTGACACAGACGAGCAAACTGGTGAAGCAGTTTCAGAACTCCCTGAAGCCGGCGAAATCTCAGATAATGGGGCATGTGAGATGAATCATAAAGTTGAGACAGTTGAGAAAGTTGCAAAAGAATCCGAGCTCTGTTTTGCAGAGTCTAACAACCATGTCGCCGAAGCTGATGATACCTTGCCAAGTATTAAGCAAGGCGGAGAAAGTTGTTTACCAGATCCTGGCCCCCTTCTTCGGTGCCCTTACTTAGATGAGATCTCTGATTTTAGCTCTAGGTACATCATCCAAATCTATTTTAAGAATCTTGGATCATTTTTCATCTAACTCTATGTCTTAATAGTACTGACATTGTGCACTTTGACCTTCTTGATCATATTTTCAAAGCAGTAACTGTAGATTGGTAGAATCCTGTGAGCTGAAACCTTAATTACACTGCGTTAGTGGTTTGCGAACTTTTCGTATCTTATAACTTGCTTTCTGCAGCTTTCAGGCTGCTCCCTGCGAGAGGAGGCATTTTAAGACCAATGAAGATGATACTGAAACAGCTGAAGCATCCTTTTCTGGTCAAGATGATACAAGCAGTAACATTGACATACTTGAGTGGGCAAAGGTTTTGTCTATTTTTGCTGTCTTGGAAGTTTCTCTATGTCGAGTTTGCCCTTTGCCATCATCATGTTCCTAACACTTAAACTTAACAAATCTCTTTCAGTCCAAAAAGAATGGGTCGTTGCAGTTACTTTGTGAGTATTACCAATTAAAATGCCCAGCAAGAGGTTCAACTATTACATTTCATCCTCTGGAGCATCTTCATCCGGTTACATATCATAGACCCGATGAAGCCGCGTTGCATACTCCCGGATCAACAATTGACCTGAGATCATGCAGCACTAGTCTAGAACTCGCGGAGGTATCAACCCAATTGTAGCTGAAGAATCAGATAATTTGTTGTTGCATTGTATAACATACGGAAACTTCTATGACTTTCAAGAAACTCGTATCTTCCTTGTTCTTCAGGCACACACCGCGCTCATGGCTGAGGAAGAAGCAGCTGCGTTATCAACATGGGCTGTTGCGTCGTTATGTGGATCACTGCGGCTTGACAATGTGATTCCTTGCTTTTCGATATCTTCTTTTTCATGATTTCAATATACAAAAGAGATAATATTCCTGTTTCCATATGCATTATATGATGGTGATACGACGTTTTTTTTACTGTGATTAGTTTTCTACCGAATTGACTCAAATTATGATCTCTCTATGTCCTTTGCAGGTCTTGATGATTCTAGCAGGAGCACTGCTTGAGAAACAGATTGTATTTATTTGCTCCAATTTGGTAAAACATATAGTCTATGACATCAGCTATTGACTCTACTGTTTTAATCTTCAAATGTTGCATCTTCCTCTTTAATATAATTACTCAGGTTGTTTTGTGCTTTCTGTGAAATATATAGGGACTTTTAGCTGCATCAGTTCTATCAATTATCCCAGTAATTCGTCCCTTTCGATGGCAGAGCCTTTTAATGCCGGTATGATCCTGTTTTTATCTTACGTCTTCACTGAGAAGCTGTAGGTAAAACCCAATTATGACTAATGGCTGGTTTTGATTTCCAGGTTTTGCCAGATGATATGCTGGAATTTTTGGATGCCCCAGTCCCTTACATAGTGAGTTTGTGAAGATGATTTTTATATTGTAAGATCCGTATCATAATTACTTGTGTTGCTTAACAGGCTTTGCTCATTCTAGGTTGGAGTAAAGAACAAAACAAGCGAAGTTCAGTCGAAACTAACAAATGTTATCGTCGTGGATATTACTAAGAACCAGGTCAGTTTCTGCCTTGCCGGCTTTATTCGTGGTCTTCTGAAAAAACAAAACAAAATATCGGTTATATAACTAGGATGTAGAAAATGTTCACGGTCTATATTTTATTGACATTTCAGGTTAAGTCAACAAGTGTTCCTCAGCTGCCTCAGTATCGAGACTTATATAATGCGCTGACTCCATATCACACGAAGCTCGTTGGAGAAAGTTATCTAGCAAAGAAAAGACCAGTATATGAATGTACTGATGTGCAGGTCTCTCTCTCTCTCTCTCTCTGTCTATCTGTCTTCCTTTTCTCTGGAGATTTGCTATGTCAGATGCTATTACTAACCACTTGTCATCAATTGTGTCTCAAAGGTGGAAGCTGCAAAAGGCTTCCTCAGTGTCCTTAGGTCGTACCTGGACTCTCTTTGCTCTAATCTGCAGTCACATACAATAACAGATGTGCAATCCAACAATGATAAGGTTTAGTTTTTCATCTACCATTCAAATGTTTTCCAGCCTAGAATCGTTTTTCTTAGGAGGAACAATATGTTTTGCTGTCCTCTTTCTGTAAATTATTAATGATAGGGTTTGTTTCAGGTATCACTTCTCTTAAAAGAAAGTTTCATTGACTCGTTTCCTAGTCGTCATCGCCCGTTCATGAAGGTGAGAGCACTTTCTTGCATTCTTTTGTACAAATAGTTTGATAAAAAATTGACTTTGCTGATTGTATGGCTTTGATGTTATGATGGGAACAGCTATTCTTGGATACACAACTCTTCTCTGTACATACGGATCTCGTTCTTTCCTTTATCCAGAAGCTATAGAACTCGACATGTATATGCAAAAGCAAGTCTTGTTGGTGAGAAATAGCGAGAAAAATACCATAAACTGTGTTATTTGTAACTTTATTGTTTGAGAAAAAGTGTCTATATAGGGAATAAAGAGTTCCCTAGACAAGGATGATACATAGAACCATCATATATCTAGAATGTACACTGTTTTGAGACAAGAAGTATAGATTTGATTGGTAACTTTGTGGAGCTTTGTGGAATGGCATAATAGCAGAAAAACGCAAAAACGCAAATATCTAATGATACTAGGCAAATATTTATAAAAAATAATTTTAAATATCAAAATATCTTTATTAGATCAAAACATTTCGTACATATAATAGATCTAATAATGATGCTTTGATATTTCAATTTTTTTTGTAAGATGTTACCTAGTATTATTAGATATTTGTCATATTCTATAGATAAAACATTTGTTGGACCATTAAATAAAAAAGAATTGTTGAAACTACCTGTAAGTGGTTAAATTTAAATATGTTTTTTATTTTTATGTTTGTAATGTTACAATTATATGGTATATATATTGAATATTGTTGTTAGTTTAAAAAAATTATTTTCATATCTAGTTAAACAAAAAATATTCAATACGTTCTAACTATCACTAAAATGAAAACTTTTGAAATTTGATTATAAATACCTGAACACTCTAAAGACAAAGAAGAGATTGAGAGCGAGAGTTTGTTTGGAAGAGAGTTGATTGAAAGAGGTATGAGAAGATAAGGAGAACTCATTAAGATAGAAATAGCGATTGTTTAAATTTTTTATAGGTAATAGAGACTTATGGTGGAGAACATAATTGAGTAAAGAAAAGCTTGAGTATCTTATGCTTGGTTTCTTACATATATTTATTATATATACGAATGATATATATAATAAAGATGTTTTACTATTTCAATTTTTTTTAATTCCCCAATATTATTAAATATTTGTCATATTCTATACACATAAAAAGATGGTTGGACGATTCAAAAAAAGAATTGTTGAAATTACTTGTAAGCGGTTGAATTTGAATTGCTTTTTATCTTTATATATTTTTAATGTTACAGCTATCTGGTCTATATATTGAATATTGTTGTTAGTTTATAAAATTAATTCCATATCTAGTTAAACAAAAAATATTGAATACATTTTAAGTATCACTAAAATAGAAACTTTTGAAATTTGATTCTAAATACCTGCACACTCCGAGAGTGAGATTAAGATTTTGTTTGGGAGAGAGTTGACTGAGAGAGGTTTGAGAAGATAGGGAGAACTGATTAAGAGAGAAATAGTGATTGTCTTTTTTTAGATAATAGAGACTTATGGTGGAGAACATAAGTGAGTAGAGAAAAGCTCAAATATTTTATGCTTGGTTTCTTACATATATTTACTATATATATGAACGATAGATCTAATTAGGATGCTTTGATATTTCAAATGTTTTTTAAATAGATGTTACATAGTATCATTAGATATTTGTCATATTCTACTCATAAAAGAATTGTTGAACCGTAAAAAAAAAATATAATTCTTAAAAATTCTTTGAAGCGGTTGAATTTGAATTGCTATTTATCTTTATGTTTTTACTCTTACATCTATCTGGTCTATAAATTGAATACTGTGGTTATTTTCAAAAAAATATATCTATATCTGGTTAAACAAAAATTTTTTTTTAGGAATTTGATTTTAAAAACCTGCAGACTCTGAAAACAAAGTGGACAGTGAGAGTGAGAGTTTGTTTGGGAGAGAGCTGATTAAAAGAGGTATGAGAAGATAAGAGAACTGATTAAGAGAGAAATATGAATTGTTTGCTTTTGTTTAGGTAATAGGGGCAAATGGTGGAGTAGAGAAGTGAGTAGAGAAAAGATCAAATATCTTATGCATGGTTTCCTACATGCATTTACTATATATACGAATGACAGATCTAGTAAAGATGTTTTTATATTTCAAATTATTTTAAATTGATGTTGCCTAGTATCATTAGATATATGTTATATTCTACACATAAAAGTGAACCGTTTAAAAAATAATTGATGAAATTTCTTCGACGCCGTTGAGTTTGAATAGCTTTATATCTTTATTTTGTACTGTTACACCTATCTGATCTATATATTGAATATTCTTGTAAGTACCATCAAATTATTTCTATATCTGATTAAATAAAAAATATTCAAAACGTTCTAACTATCACTAAAAAAGAAAATTTTTAGAATTTGAATCTAAAAACTTGCACACTCTGAAGACGTGAGACTTTTTTTGGGAGAGAGTTGATTGAAAGAGGTTAGAGAATATTGGGGGAACTGATTAAGAGAGAAATAGTGATTGTTTGCTTTTGTTTAGTTAATGGAGGCAGGTAGAAGAGAAGAAAAGTGAACAGAGAGAAGCTTGAATATCTTATGCTTGGTTTCTTACATACATTTACTATACATACAAATGATTGAACTACTAAGGATGCTTAGATATTTCGAATTATTTTAAATATATGTTGCCTAGTATCATTAGATTTTTTTTTCATATTCTGCACATAAAAGAATTGTTAAACCAAATATTCTTGGAAGCAATTGAATTTGAATTGTCTTTTAATCTTTATGTTTGTACTACTACAGCTATCTGGTCTATATATTGACTATTGTTGTTAGATCCAAAAAATTATTTCTATATTTGGTTAAACCAAAAATATTCAATACTTTCTAACTATAACTAAAACTTATATTTTTGGAATTTGATTCTAAAAACCTACACACTCTGAAGAAAATAAGAGAGTGAGAGTCAGAGATTGTTTGGGAGAGAGTTGATTGAAAGAAGTTTGCGAAGATAGGGAACTAATTAAGAGAAAAATAATGATTGTTTGCTTTGTTTAGGTAATAGAGACATATGGTGGAGAAGATAAACGAATATAGAGAAGCTCGAATATCTTTTGCATGGTTTCTTACATACGTTTACTATATGTACGAATGATAGATCTAATAATGATGCTTTGATAAATAGATGTTGCCTAGTATTATTAGATATTTGTCATATTGTACACATAAACAAGTTGTTGGACCATTAAGAAAAAGAATTGTTGAAACTACTTGTAAGCGGTTGCATTTGAATTGTTTTTTATCTTTATATTTAGAATGTTACAGCTATCTGGTCTACATATTCAATATTGTTATTCGTTCCAAAAAATTATTTATATATCTGGTTAAACAAAAAAATATTCAATACATTCTAACTATAACTAAAAAGGAAATTTATGTTTGTAATGTTACAGCTATGTGGTCTATAGATTGCACATTGTTATTAGTTTCAAAAAGTTATTTCAATATCTAGTTAAACAAAAAAAATATTCAATATGTTCTAACTATAACTAAAAAGGAAATTTTAGGAATTTGATTCTAAAAACCTGCACAGTCTGAAAACAAAGTGGACAGTAAGAGTGAGAGTTAGTTGGGGAGAGAGATAATTAAAAGATGTATGAGAAGATAGGGAGAATTGATTAAGAGAGATTAGTGATTGTTTGCTTCTGTTTAGGTGATAAAAGGAGATGGTGGAGAAGAGAAGTGAGTAGAGAAAAGCTCAAATATCTTTTTTTTTTTTGTTCAGATGGTCAAATATCTTATGCATTGTTTCTTACATACATTTACTGTATATACGAATGACATCTCTAATATTTTTTTTATATTTCAAATTATTTAAATTGATGTTGCCTAGTATCATTATGTATATGTCATATTTTACACATAAAAGTGAACCGTTAAAAAAAAAGATGCCATTGAATTTGAATTGCTCATTATTTTTATTTTGTACTGTTATACCTATCTGGTCTATATTTTGAATATTCTTGTAAATTTCATTAAACTATTTTTATATGTGGTTAAATAAAAAAATATTCATGACGTTCTAACTATCACTAAAAAGGAAAATTTTTGGAATTTGATTCTAAATAACCTGCACACTTTAAAGACAAAAAAGAGAGTGAGAGTGAGAATTTGTTTGGAAGACAGTTGACTGAAAGAGGCTAGAGAAGATTGAGAGTACTGAATAAGACAGAAATAGTGATTGTTTGCTGTAATAAAGGCAAATGGTGGAGATGAGAAGTGAATAGAGAAAAGCTCGAATGTCTTATGATTGTTTTCTTCCATACATTTACTATACATACGAATGATTGAACTAATAAAGATGCTTTGATATTTCAAATTATTTTAAATAGATGTTTCCTAGTATCATTAGATTTTGTTGTCATATTCTACACATAGAATGATTGTTAAATAATTAAAAAAAGAATTTGAAAATTATTGGAAGTTATTGAATTTGAATTGCTTTTTATCTTTATTTTTGTACTACTACAGCTATCTGGTCTATATTTTGAATATTGTTGTTAGATCCAAAAATTTATTTCTATATTTGGTTAATCCAAAAACATTCAATACGTTCTAACTATAACTAAAAAAGAAATTTTTGGAATTTAATTCTAAAAACCTGCACATTCTGAAAAAAAGAAGAGAGTGAGAGTCATAGATAATTTTGGAGAGAGTTGATTGAAAGAGGTTTGCGAAGATAGGGAGAACTGATTAAGAGAAAAATTATGATTGTTTGCTTTTGTTTAGGTAATAGAGACAGATGATGGAGAAGATAAGTGAGTAGGGAGAAGCTTGAATATCTTTTGCATGGTTTCTTATATACATTTGCTATATGTACGAATGATAGATCTAATAATGATGCTTTGATATTTCATTTTGTTAAAATAGATTTTGCCTAGTATTATTAGATATTTGTTATATTCAACACATAAAAAAAAATTGGACCATTAAAAAAAAAGAATTGTTGAAACTACTTGTAAGCGGTTGAATTTGAATTGTTTTTTTATCTTTATGTTTGTAATGTTACAATTATCTGGTCTACATACTGAATATTGTTATTGGTTCCAAAGAATTATTTCTACATCAGGTTAAACAAAAAAATATTCAATACGTTTTAACGATAACTAAAAAGAAAATTTTAGGAAATTG